CATTACTTATCCACCAATATATATATATATACACACACACACACGCAGAGGTCTAGCTCTGCTTTTCTGCTTTCACTTGTTTGCACTCTGCAGAGAGGATACTCCAATTTATCAGTTCATCTGAAGTTGCATTTGCTCTGAATGATGCAGCAATTGAGCTTTCGATTGAACCACTTGGCCAGTTTTTGTTGGATTCACAGTAATAGTATACGTCGATATGACCACCGTTTTCTTTCTCACAGTCCCGCTCACAAGTGGGCAAATTCAAATTAATTTTGAAGCAATGAACATGGAAAGGCTGGATGGTTACTGTATTCGGAGCCTTTCAGGATGTACTAGGTAAATCAGGAATGACTTTTTGAGGCCCTGCAAGTGACCGTCACCCTGGCCCCAATCACAAGGTGGAGTGGGGTGGGTGGGGGGGAAGTAATCGATATTTTAAACCTGCAATTGTGAAGGATTTTAAAGACGATTTAAACACTTGTAAACCTAGCAGTAACTCTTCTCAGGCATCCTAATCTCCCTGTTTGAGTTTTCAGCACATTGCCCTCAGCATTTTCCTAAATCACCTGTTTCACTGACAATTCCTATCAGTGACGGCTGCACAGGGATGCCAAGGTCAATGGAACATCAGCAGCAGCTACTGACAGATGGCTGTGTACTCAAGAAAGGCAGCCATATCATTCACAGCAGCTTTATTCACTCCCAGTAACACCTCAGCTCGCTTCGTTGAGGATGCGACTCTGAAACACTGGGCCTCGGCACAAATTACTCACCAATTCAGCGCATCCCGATACGTATGTCAGTGTCCGAGTCATTGCTGTCTGCTGAAGTACAGGGTGACCAAGAAGTCGTGATATCTACCCTATTATCTGAAAAAAAATTATCATTTCTTTAAGACTTACTAAACATTGTAATGGTAATCATCGCTTTTTGGTCACGGTGTATTATACGCATTGAAAATTTTGGTATTATTGTCGAATGCAAGGACTTACTTGACAGACCTTTCCTGATGATGTGCACGGTCAAATGAGCTGATTGAATGAAGTAGGCAACCTTGCCACAAATACAGAGGAGACCGTTATAATGCAGTAGACTGGGGCCATAAGCCTTAGACCCCGCATTAAAATAAAGCGAGGGGCTGGGAGTGGGGGGGGAGACCACTATAATGTCATCGAGTCACTATAATGTCACTTCCTGTGCAAATTGACATCAGCGATATTCCTCCACACCAGCAATGCAGGAAATAACATCAATGATGACCTGGCGACACAGAAGCCAGCCATTTTTGTTTAGCACAGGAAGCTGGCTAGTCAGCTGAGTTGGAGTGTCCGCAGTACAACTATGTCATACATGGGCCTGTGCTAACCTGCGCAATAACGGGGCGCTCTGTGTTATACGGCAGTTCATAAAGTTTTAGCCAATGTTGAGATGACCAGGAATGAAATACAAAGAGTGAGCTGTTCTACTTTAGTTGAACGAGGCACATTCAGTCGCTATATAGTTTCTAACCTAACTGTGTCACAGCTGTGGAGTAATGTAGTTAGCGTTAGCACACTATAGTTTTCTAAAACTGAAAGTACTTAAAAAGTAATTGAGAAACATTATGCAGCCTGAATGTTCTGTGGCTGTTGGTAATCATGGTTTCGGAATGTATTCTCGACAGAATCCACTGATGTTCATTTATCTAAGATATATAGTTAATCTTTCTGATGGTATTCGGCGATGCCTTAATAAGAAGGCAGTTTTCCCCAAATTCTTTCCAAGAACCGCACTTTAAAATAATTACCGAAAACTGGCTTCTGAGTTAAGAATGAATTTAAGGCTTGTGGATTGCTCTTAAAGGCAATGTTCTGTTTTTTTCAAAGCAAATTTCAGGCCTCAGGTATCTTGAGTTCTTTTGGAACAGTGTTATTCTTTAAAAACAATCATAGAAATTAAAATACGGAGGATGTTATTTGGGCCATCGAACCTACACTGGACCTTGCTCTTCTACTATCTTTCTTCAAAGATCTATTTGATTCCATCTTGCATGTTGTCCCAAAGTTCGGCTTGCACCATTAACCTGTCTCAGGGGCGAGAATGCGGCCAATTGAGCCAGACTGACTATTACGACCAAAGTTCAGAATATCTGGCATTTTTTAAACAGAAGCAGATGTGCTCAGAGTGTTTCCCCCCCACTTTTATAGTGGAATAAACTGTAATTACTCACAGTCTGGACATACAGGTCTGATGGCCACTTGGACGACTTACCAGAAGGTGGCTGGTAACCATGGAGACACATCTCACCAACAATCATTGGCCTGGACAGAGGAAGGCGGCAAAGAAATTGGCAACGTGAACCTCGGCAACATAGCTTGGAGTCCTGTAGCTCAGTGGTTAGAGCACTCGCTTTGCAAGTGAGAGACCTGAGTTCAATTCCAGGCAGAGGGCGAAACCTTGGGCAAGTTTCCTTACTCCACACAGAGCCTAATAATAATCCCTCCAAAACCAAAACCAATAATAAATTGATCATTTTCAATCTACGACTGTTTGTGGGACATTGCTGTGCCAATTGGCTGCCGCGTTCGCCCACAAATATACAGTCAATTCACTTTACAGTGGGTTCTGTGAAGCGCTTTGGGACGTCCTCCCGACGTGAAAAGCACTATATCAAATGCAAGGATTATTATTATTATAGCTTACCCTGAAGAAGTGCCAGCCATTGTCCAGGAGTCCTCTCGCCTCTTTATGTTGGTTTGTCACATTGGTTCAATGAGGAAATGGCGATGGATTTGGCTCTTAAAAACACAACACAATTGAGAGTTTGCAAGACCCTGAGGATCATCTGCTGGAGTCATTTCGGGAATTGGATTTGGACACAGCCAATAATCGATCAGTCGCGCTGTGATGTAAATGCAGACTACGTAAATCGGCTTTGCTATCGTCTGAAGAACCTGCACCTTGAAACTCCTTGGCTGGTCCATTCAACACCAAGTTAAGCCTTTTAATGTTAAAGAGTGGATACCAGACTGTCTCTTTAGTATGATTCATCTTGAACAAGATTTGAAGAGCGAGCGTGCCGCTAACCATCCGCTGCTCTTACACTGATTTGTATGTTCATACGGCATTCCTCAGGCCCTGGCAAATGCGATTTTGGAATGGGAATCGTAAATGCTATTTCATACCCTGAGCATTTTAACTCCTTCTAGAAGCGATTTGAAACTGTACTATTTATAGGGCGTTGGAGACGGTGTGGAGGGTCGTTTTTTTTTTAACTTGAGAATGCCAGGTGAGGGGCCACAGAGCAGGAGACCACTGAGATTGGAGATGGAGTGGATGGAGCTATAAAGAAAGATTGTACAAGTTGGAGCTCTCTCTCTCTAAATGAGATTATTAAGTGCTCGGGTATGCTACCCTGCGTGGAGGCCGCTCTATAACTGCAAGTTGTTATTGTTGATTGAAAGAGCACCTGATTGAGGTGTTCAATGTTCAACGTCATGAAAGGTCTTGACCAAGTGGACGTTGCTAGGTTGTTTCCACTGTTGATGGGTGTGGGGGAGTGGGGGCCGTGAGAACGTGGAACTCGCAGCTACAAGCTGTCGTTGAAGCAAAAAGCAGCAACACTTTTAAGAGGAAACGTGATGCCTACATGATGAGCGTTCTCCGAGCCCAGCAGTCTGGAGCTTGGGTTGTAAGAGACGGAGTACAATGACCTCAGGAGGGGGTGGAGAGGGGGCAGAAGCCCTGTGTGTGTACACATATACACTTAATCAGTGTGTGTACACACCCAGCTGACACAGTTTTGCTTTCAAACCTTTTCCCCACTGAATGGTCCCACTTGTTGAGCCACCAAGCAAAGCTCAGCAGGTGGATTTTTAAAATTTAAAACAGCTCCTGCTTGGCTGTGCACACAGAACACGAGACAGATCTCTCACACAGGAGTCTTCCTGCCTGACGCATTGAGAGCATGTTTGCTTCATTTAAGTAACTGACTCCAGAGCTCCACAGAGCAGTTCATCAACTGGCGATTTCTTGTTAACGTCAGCTCTAGCTTTGGATGTTTTAAGGGACGCACAGAAGTTAAACCTTCTCCCCAATACCAACTGCACTATTGATCAGTGACTTTTAAACATCAGAGAAAGCTCGATTTGATCTTAATGGAGTTATATACTCCACGAGTCTCAACAACGTGATAAGGCACTATATCAAATTCAAGGATCATTATACAATCAATTCACTTTACAATATATTCTGTGAAGCGCTTTGAGATGTCTCAACGACGTGATACGGTGCTATATCAAATGCGAAGATTATTATTATTATACAGCAAGAAAAGCTATCGTAGAGCCTTCTTTCTGTACATGTCTCTTTCATATGGATTATTGTTATGAATGTGACTGACTTGCTTCCCAAACCCTTTGCACTTTCTTGGAAGATGTCTACTTTGCGACTGAGTGAATTAAATCTGAAACAAAGGACCCCCTGATCCCTGTCCACTGCCATGAATGTGTGTTCAAGGGCAGCCCAGAGTTCAAAAATGTTAATTTTTTTTTTAAAAAATGTCCTCCGAAGTAGAAGTGGAATTGAGGACAAATTAACTGACGGCTACTTTGAACCAACCATTTTGTTTCCACCTCAAAAAAACCACCATTTTTTTTTGCTCCCGATAGATTGTTCTTATTTTTCTGTTGCCATGGCAAAACTTCAGCCTCCGTGATCCATCAGGCATGGGCTGCGGTTGGTTTCATCATCTCAGGCTCGTTACGGGACACAGATAGACACATAACGGGGTCGTCCTCTCGCAAGAAAAACACAGTCGGTGCCCTTGACACATCAATCCAGATTTCACAACAGTTCATTCGCTGTGAATTATTCATACCAGAGGTGCCATCGCTCAGGCACAGGGATTAGCAAGTTTAGTTAAATTTCTGCTTGTGTTTAGGCTTGTCCAGGATGGCAGTGCTTGAAACCCAACATGTTGTTTTATTACTAACATCTCTTCTCTTCTTGTTCTGCAGAGGTTTTCTTTAAACTGCACACGGCAGGAGAAATGCTCAGGAGCCAAGGTCCACTCAGCGCAGGTGGAAGGAAACAATGATTTCTTCATAAATCATCTTGGAGTACCAACTGTTCAATTTGCATATCTGGAGACAAAAACGCCAGCGGTAATTACTCTTTTGTGGTTTGACTTCTGCTGCTTAGCTGCTAGCATTCCACAGGGGCCCTGTGTACATCATTCAACAATTTTGCATAATATACTAAAGGAAATTAATCTTTAGATATGATATATACATGTATATATATATATATATAAATGTTCAAATCGAGCAGGTGGCATAAGCATAAATTATGAGTTTGATCTGCAGTGGATGTGAGGGTTCACATGGAACAAGCTTCAGTGGTTCTTGTTTGGAGCCATTTGTCCATTGGAAGCTCTTTTAAGATGGAACTTGAATGAAGTGTTATTATGAAGTAGTGTAAGTGACACTAACACACGGGAGCAAGGCAACTACGTTATACTGTGTGGGTCCAATATCTTAGCTGCTATGATGTAAACAGGAGAGGCACTGTGTTTTGGAGGTTAGGGATGTAGGAATTGCAGTTTAATAATGATAATAATCCATGATTTGATATAGCGCCTTATCACATCTTCGAGACGTCTCAAAGAGCTTCACAGATTATACTGTAAAGTGTAGGACTGTATGTTGTGGGCGAAACGCAGCAGCCAATTGCCCACAGAAGTGTCTCACAAGCAGTCATGGATTGAGTGACCAAATTATTATTATTTTATTCAGAAGGGATTATTACCCCCGGAAAGAAATCCGCAAATCGATTAACAACCCTGGGATCCTACTTACTGCTGGTAAACAGAGGCGCGTGGAGTAAGGCGTTTCTTTTGAAAAGCCAAAATTTCAAACAAATATTCAAAATGATTCCTTCCCCCACAACCACCACCAACCACCGCCAGCCTTCTTCTGTTCTTTGACCTCAATCGCCCCGGCCATTCAATCCACTTTTAATTTGCAAACTGAATTCATAAGAGTTGAACGTATGGCCCAATCTCTCTCATTGATTTTGCGCCTCTGTTAAATTAATGTAGTTCTTAAGTCTACATTGTTAATGTCACGTCAGTTCCACTTACATTGAGGCCGATGCACATCAACAGCACCATCTTCCTGCAAGTGATTCTGCCACTGATGTTAAACAGGGAGAAGAAAAAGTCAGAAATGAGCAGAGACCCAGTCTATTGACTCACTCAGCACCATCTCCAATTGTATTTTGAATATTCCCCATGTTTTTTTTTGCTTGGTAGATTATTCTTAAACATTTTTAACTCTTTAAGCAAAGAGAGTTTGCCCTCCCCTCAAAATCTCCTTTGTGTTCATTTCCGCTGATGTCTCCAGGCCCTGCTTTCGTAGTTTTCTTTGAACTCATGGTCTGAAATAGTTGTTGTTCTTGCCAACTCTTTTTGTTTTGGTCTGACACATGTGGAAATCCCAGTCCGGTGGGGTCAAGTTCCCCGTGTTACTTCATTACAATAAATGCACTTAAAGAACTTTTTAAAAGTGCAGACCGCTTTGCAATTACCACTGGATTTATTATTTTAAACAAATCTATCATCGAAATAGTAATTGCATCTGATATAGCACCTTTCAGGTCAGGAGGACTTCTCAAAGCGCTTCACGGGATTTTCTGTAAAGCGCAGTGACTGTGTACGTCGTCGGCGAATGTGGCAGTCTATTGACTCACAGCAATGAGCATTCTATGAGAACATTTTGGACTACATTTCTAAGGGCCAGGATTACAAACATTCATGAAAAGAAATTGTAACTATGTTCATTTTTTTTAAAGAAAAACACAGCTATTTTAACATAGTGACCACCACATCTTGCATATCATTCTAAGGCTCTTGATATCCTCCGCACCCTTGAGTCAACTGCAGAATTTTACAGTATACTGTTGCACTGATTGAATGGAGACTCATCAAGTTAGCGGACTTGTTTCAGAAACTGCTCCAGCAGAGTGGAATGAGTAAGTGACTGAAGTAACAGGCGACTGATGGACAAAATCCCATCCAAGTCTCACCCACTTTATTATATTAGTGCTCCAAGTTTATTAATTAACGGAGTTGGCACTTATCATTTATTTTTGCCTAAAACCTCTAAGCACAGAAGGCATTGATCAAAACGTTGTAGGGTGTAATGTTATTTTCCATTGTCATCCGCACTGTCTCAGGCTCCTATTTCTCTTATCATATATAACCAACCATGATTTCCTCCACAAATTGCACTGTAGTGTTTAACATTCACCACTAAAAGAAAGCACATCAAACTCGGAGGGAACAGTGCTACTAATTGAACCATGAGCCAGAAAAGGCCACTCTTCTATTAAAGGCATCCTTTCCACACACCACACCACAGATTCTACTTTCATCCCGATTTTAACCTTGTGACATTTCTTCCCGCTCCCAAATTGAATCAAAGCAAATTTCCGCCACTAACCCTGTGACGATTAATCTTCCTCTTGTTAAAAAGAAACTCGGAACAGATGCAGCAGCATGCTGCGGGAATCACTTTTATGTCAACACGTGTTTCCGCCTGGTAATAAAGGGCTTCTCGTTTGCAGTGGAAGTTTAATGTTACACTTATTGGCAACCGGTCACAAGAAAAAAAATTCCCCATGAGCTGCTGAACTCGCAAGTGGCTTTTTCACATTCTCTATCTTTGAGTCGTTGACTGATGGACAAAATCCCATGTCTCACCCACCTTATTATATTAGTGTTGTAAGTTTGCCCACTGAATCCTTCAGCATGAGAATGAGATCCCATTGTGTTTTAATGTTCTTCTCTGAACTTGAGGAGAAGGAAAGCCTCGGGACAGTTACTCTGACTACAAAGAGTTTTCCCCACATATACGATTTGATTCTTTTCTCCTTATGGAAAAACAGCCCAGGAGCTACCAAGATTCAGTAAATTGTTTTCCCTCCTCTGAAGAATGACTGCCGCAGGTCTGACTTTGTAGCTGAAGCCACACTCTGATCATTTATATTACGAGGGCAGCTTATTATTTCCTTGGGGGAATCTATTCATTCCTGGGGACTGAGCTCCACTGCCTGGCCTGTAGGTGCTAAGCCATGAAAAAAATCCATACTGACTGAGTATTAACCCTTGCATTCGAAGTAGCACCTTTCACGTCAGGAGGACGTCTCAAAGCGCTTCAATGGGATTTAATGTAAAGTGCAGTGACTGTATATTTTGTCGGCAAACCCAGCAACGAGTGTTTCCACAGCAACATTCCACCAACAGCCATGAAGTGAGCGTCCGGGGATTGTTGGCCAGGATATTGGTAGAGAGAAACTCCCTTCTCGAGGGATCTTTAACACGTGCCTGGACAGCCAGCGCGCAGCAACACCCCAACTGGCACAGGTTAGTCCCCATCTCGGGCTCTGGCGACCAACTGGCGCGGACTTGCGTGTGACGACTGGAGGAATTCCAGGAATCCCACGGCACATCCTCCGCTTCGTTCATTGGCTGGGCTCCGGCTGTGAGTGGAGACCCGATGTAGCTTTTCAAGCGAGGGACTGATTCTCTAACTCAAAAAGGCAAATGCCTACTGAGAAAGGAAAGGGAGTCAGACCTGATGCACACATGGGAGCACTGCAGCCCCCTGGCCTACCCACGAACAACAACCTGAAAGGGAAAGGAAGAAGATTGGGAACCATCCTTTTCTTTTTTCTTGAGCGAAATAAACCATCACCAACGATTTTAAGTGTAAGCAGTTGTTTCCGTCTCTACAAGCTGTTCAGTGTTAACGCTAATCATTTCTGCAAGCAATTATCCTGTGATTTAATCGATAATGACAGGACTGAACCGTGTAAATGAGGACCTCTCGATACACCCACACACAATGCTGCTCCCACAGAACCCATTCCTCTCACACAAGCGGCAACCCGCTCACATCTTCATCCTGCTGAACATATTGGATTTTTCTTTCCCATTAATACACCACCTGCCTGTATAAATTTAGTTTTTAACTTGCTACATGGCAATCAGTCAGATAAAATAGCTTGATAAAATGACCGAAATTTGCCTTTAATGTTCTTTGCATTTATCTTCTCGAGAGGTCATGTGGATGTGTGTTAAGTGAGAGAAAACATCGGCTTCTGCCAGTGCTGTAGGAAATATTCAAAGCAGCATTGAGGTATGGGGGTGTTGTCATGCCTTTGTTGCTTTAGGAGACAGTATTATTTTAAGGCCAGCGCTTTGCCAGTGATTGAAGCTTCTGATTGAACGTTAATATCTATCCTTCGAGAACAGAAATGGTCTCTGCAATAAGTAGCGGGGATGGGGGTCTGGGGTGTGGAGGTGTGGGGGTGGGCTGTGACCGCCTTTTGTGAACACCCATTGGAAAATAAAATGACCCCTTTCACCACACAACACACCTCCCCACTTGAGATTAATAAGCGACGTGTACAGCAGGTTTTAAAACAAACGCAGTCTTCAGCAAGGATCCACCATCTTCTTCCTTCGAATGACATTAAAAAGAGAAAAGTTGTCAAGTTCTGACATACCCTACACTATGTGGGTGCCGAAAGTCAGAATACATTTCACACACATTTCGCAGGGTGAAAGTGCCCCTCTTTATACAAAAATAATGGCTTGCATTGGATATCATGCTTTATGATGCAGTGCGTTTCGCCCACGAGGCTGTGGAAGCAGATTCGATTATAGCTTTCAAAAGGGAATTGGATAGATACTTAAAAAGCAAAAATGTGCAGGGCTTTGGGATAAGAGCGGGGGAGTGGGACTAGTTGGTAGCTCTTTTAAAGAGCTGGCACAGGCACGATGGGACGAATGAATGGCCTCCTTCTGTGCTGTAAGATTCTATGATTCTATGATTTCCAATTTGTACATAGTTTAACTTCTGCCTCCTTGCCTCCCCTTGCCAAGAGCACGAAAACCAGACCCACAGATGAGGGGTGAGAGATGCTACTGCAGTCTGCAATAAGGCAACTTCTCGATGCCTAACTGTAGTGTGGGCTCAATTCTGATGCTCTCTCTCTCTCTCTCTCTCTCTGTCTGTCTGTCTAATCTGTCTATCTGTGCGTCTGTCTGTCTATCTGTCTGTCTGTCTGCCTGCCCACCCTGTGTTTGAGATCAGAAGTT